CCCATCCACTATGCCCTGGCAAACCTCTTCCATCATTCTCTTATTGCCAAATCTCTTCCTTCCTTCCTTCTTTCTTTCCCGCCTTTCTTCCTTCCCTCCTTTCCTCCCTTTTTTTTTTTGCCAAATTTCTTCTTATTCTAGAGCTCACCCTTTCCCTCTAATCCACATAGACCTGGTTTCTTCCAGACGACACTTCATTCCTGGACACTCTCTCCATGGCTGGTGTGTACTTACCTCAAGCTGCAAATGTACCGGGCAAGGACAGTTGGCATATTCCTCGTGCTCCCCACTGGCAGTCCTAGATCTTTCCTCTATCGGCATCATCTCTGCCTTTGAGGTTCATAGCCTCAGACACTTACAAGCTGTGTGAACCCAAGCAAATCACTTCACCCCATTTGCCTCAGTTGTCTTATCAATTAAATGGGGCTAAAAGCATCTACTTCCCTGAGCTGTTGTGAAGACCAAATGAGATATCTGTAAAACATTTTGTAAATCTTGAAGTTCTAGATAAATGCTAGATATCATCATCGTCATCATTATTATTGATCATTATTGTCTTGTCTGTATCCTCACCCTTCCTGGTCCAACTCCTTGGTACAGCAGTCAAGAAAGTTCTGGATTTGCAGCCCAGAGGACCTAGGTTCAAATGCCAATTCTACTGTGTATCTCTCTAGGTCTGTTTCTTCGTCTGTAAAAATGTAGGGGCTGGACTCAGTGACATAGAACGTCTATCTCAGCTCTAAAACTATGACAGCTAAGAGAAAGGAATGAAGGGAGGAAATAAGCATTTATTAAGCAACTATTTTGTGCCAGGCACTGTGCTAAGCACTTTACAAATATTATCTCATTTGATCTTCATGACAGCCCTGGGAGGGAGGGGCTATTATTTATCTTATTTTATAAATGAGAAAACTGAGACCAGCAGAGTTTAAGAGACTTGCCCAGGATTGCACCACTAGTAATGTCTCCTGTTGTTCAATCTTTTTTTTTTTTCAGTCATGTCTGACTGTTCATGACCCTATTTGGGGTTTTCTTGGCAGAGTTAACTGGAATGATTCACTATTTCCTTCTCCAGCTCGTTTTACAGATGAGGAAACTGAGGCCAACAGGGTTAAGTGACTTGCCCAGGGCCATAGCTAGTAAGTGTCAGAGAGGCTGGATTTGAACTCAGAAAGATGAGTCTTCCCAACTCCAGACCCAGTGCTCTATCCCCTGCACCACCTAGTAGGCACTCCATGTTCTAAGGACCCTCCCAGCTCTGACATTCCCTGCTCTAAGCTCTTCCCAGCTCTGACATTCTCTGTTCTAAGGGCCCTCCCAGCTCAACATTCCCTGTTCTGAGGGAGAAAGAACTGATAAACAGAGGTACATATAAATTATTTTACATATACACATATTTGTGTCTAATGGTAGTCATCTTTAGGATGAAGCATGGGGAGAGAAGAAAAAAGAGAAATTTACAAGATATTTTATTATATATTTAAAAGTAATAGCAAATTGTACATAAGAGATTTACAGTTTCACATGCAATCATCTTTTTTTTTATTAAATACATTATGGAAATGCTTGTTTTATTCCATGAACTCAAAATAAAATAAAATAAAAATATAAAAAAGAAAGATACAAAACTGGAGGTCAGGAGAAAGGTTATAGGGCAGGATAAATCGATTTGAGAATCAACTTCAGAGACATGAGATCCCCAAGTAAAATAGTCTAGAGGAGAAGAAAAGAGAGCCTAGAACAGAACCTTGGGGGAACCTACATTTAGTGAGCCAGACATATATGAAGAGCCAGCCAAGGAGACTGAGGAGAGGTCAGACAGGTAAGAGGGGAACCAGGAGAGAGTAGCTTCATGAAAATCTAGGTAGAAAAGAGTGACTGATAGTGTCAAGTCAGGCTGTAGAATACCCTCACTTCCAACTCCCGAGCTCTTGGGATCTAGCTTCGGCTCCGAGGTTGCTGTCCAAGGTCCAGTTTCCTCAAGTTGGTACCTGATGGCCTTTTCTCAGCTCCATCTGACACCACTGGCCTTCCCTTCTCTCTTTCATTCTCTTCTCCTCCCTGGCTTCTGGGGCGCTCCTTTCCTGGTTCTCCTGACTGCCTGACCATTCTTTCTTCATCTCCTTTGCCAATTCATCATAGATCTCCTTCCCCTTCAGAACATGTTTCTCCGGGCTCTGGTGGCTTTGGGCAAGTCACTTAACGTCCTCAGGACAGATGAGTTTCCTCATCTGTGAAATGAGGGGGGTTGGGTCTGTCGTCCCTTGACATCCCTTCCTGCTCTGGATATATGATTCTACATTTGCTTGTGGTTGCTGGGATGGCTGAGTGGCACACGCATTAGTGTTGGCAGGAACAGGGACACAGCTCTCCTGGTTTCTAGTTTCACTGGGTGCACCGTGCAAATTGCCACACTACTGAAGATGCTTTAAAAAAATTCTCAGGGGCAGCTAGGTGGCACAGTGCATAGAGCACCAGCCCTGAAGTCAGGAGGACCTGAGTTCAAATCCAGCCTCAGACCAAACACTTGACACCTACTAGCTGTGTGACCCTGGGCAAGTCACTTAACCCCAACTGCCCAAAAATAAAAAAATAAAAATAAATAAAAATAAAAAAATAAAAAAATTCTCAGTCCCAGCTCCATTCCTGAATCTCCATAGTTTACCACCTTGTCCAGCAGGAATATCTTCCCTATTACCTCCAGCCCCTACCCCCTTCCAGTTCCTTTTGATGTATTCCTTTTCCCACATTAGAATGTAAGCTTCTTGAGGGCAGGGACTGTTATTTTTTGCTTGTATATACAACTAGTAAGTATCGGGCCTTTCTCAGGTCTTTCTGACTCCAGGTCAGTGCTCTATCCACTGGGCCACTTAATTGGTTCTTAACTCCCTGCTCAAGATGAACATGTCACTTCCCTGTTCAACAACCTTCAATGGCTCCCTATTCCCACCAGTAAGGGGTTCTTCCCCCTTTTTGTATCATGGACCCCTCTGGCTATCTGGTGAATCCCAATGATCCCCTTCTCAGAATCATGTTTTTTAAATACACAATATAAAATGTATTGGATTGCAAAGGAAACCACATTACACTGAAATACAATTATCAAAATATACTTAAGATAAAAAACCAAGTTTATAGATCCCAAATTAAGAACTCTAGGATGTTCTAGGACACATCCAGTCTCCTCAGCCTGGCACAGAAGGTCCACACCTGGCTCCAAGCTTTATTTCATTTCATTTCTCTTCTTATATTCTATGTTCCAGTCAAACTCTATTGCCTGGTCTCTGGACTCCACACTTAATCTCCCACCTCTGTGCATTTGCATCTATGAAGCCTTCCCTGAAGCACACCCTACCCCTGCTGCCTTCCTCCTCAAATTATTTATTATCTCTGCACATATCATATTCTCCAGGAAAACATATGCTTCCTGAGGACAGGGGCTATTTCATTTTTAACCTTTGTACCACTGGCGCTAGAAATAAGGCCTTGTATACAGCAGGCACTTAATAAATGTTTATTGAATTGCACTGTAATGACCTTTGCATTGACTAATCTGTGTATATGCCCAACAAGTTTGGATTTAAACAATACTGATTTCATGATTTCTTCCCATTTTCCCTGAGATTGAGAAAGCTAGAATTCTTACTGCTACTTCACAGAACGGGTGGGAGATGGGGGGAGAAGTAGCCAGAGACTCTTATTTCGTTACTGTGATTCCTGGTTTACAAATCAAGACTATGGTTGTAATTACCCATTTTAAAGGTGACAAGATTGAGTCCGGGAGAGCACAGAATGGGAAGTAGGCACTCACTAATAATAAACAGCAGCTCACATGTCAAGGCTGGCCGAATGCTTCACGTTTTGACTTTTTTTTGGCCCTCACAACAGCCCTGTGAGGTAGGTGTTCTGATTATTCCCATTTTATAAATGAGAAAACTGAAGCTCAGAGAGATGGATCCACTCGCCCTGGTCAAGATATCACAGATATCACAGAGCTAATGTGTCTGGTACAAGATAAGAACCCAGGTCTCCCTGACTCCAAGTGCATTGCATAGTCCTTCCCCCCATACACTTGCCTGCATCTCACAAAGCCAACAAATGGCACATCTGTGGCCCATCCATTGTTAGTGTGCTCCGTGCGTTGGGAGGGAGGGGAGAAGGAAGAGGCGGAGGGAGGGCAGAGATAGCCAGCGCCCTCCCCCGGACGGCTCCTGGAGCTGCCCAGAACACGGCGGGCTAGTCTGGCCACTCCTGAGGGCACGGCAGGACCGGACCAGGGAGAAGAGGGTTTGCCCCAAGGACTCCCGGCCTCAGTCTTCCTGCCACCAGGGGCACCTAAAACAGTGCGCCCTGACACCAATGGACACGCAGTGGGGAGTGGGAGCCCAGCATGGAGGAAAGAAAGCCTTGACCTACTGCACCAAGCAGTGTGGAGGATGGCATCAGCTCCACTGGAGGGCTGAGGCCCGTGCTGGGGAGGTGGGGGCATGGAGCTAGGGATGGGCCAGAGAAATGTGAGAGTCGGGGAGGAGAAGCCTTGCGCTCGTGTTAGACGCACGAACATGTGGAGACACAGAGAGGCTGAATAAGTCGTTCAGGGTCACACAGCAACTCAGCAGGAGAGCTGAGAGAAGACAACAGCACAGGTGCTTCTGCTCCCCCCTCCTTTTCTCTTTCTCTTTTCTCTCTCTTCTTTCTTTCTTTCTCTTCTCTTTCTTCTTCTCTCTCTCCTTTCTCTTCTGTCTCCCTCCTTGCCTTTTCTCTTTCTCCTTCCTTCCCTTCTCTCATTCTCTCTCCATTTTTCTTTCTCCTATCTTTCTCCTCTTTTCCCCCTCACTCTTCTCTCTCTCTCCCTGTCTCTATCTCTCCTCTCTTTCTCTTCTTTTTCTTTCTCCTTCCTTCCCTCCTCTTTCTCTCCATTTTTCTCTCTCTCTCCTCTTTCTTTCTCTCTCCTTTTTCTCCCCTCTCCCTCTCTGTCTCTGTGTCTCTGTCTGTCTGTCTGTCTGTCTGTCTCTCTCTCTCTCTCTCTGTCTCTCTCTCTCTCTCTCTCTCTCTCCCCCTCCATTTCTCCCCCGCCCAAGCTGGCCAAACAGCCCCCAGGCCCTCCTCAGTTTCCAGGCTGCCTTACCAGCCCAAGAGTTTATACAATAAACCGCATACAGAGCCTCCGACTCCAGAGTCAGCACTGCTACATGACGGCTGCCCCCCAGCTTTCATGGCTCAGCCACAGAGGGGTAAGCTCAGCTCCCTGGAAAGGGGCCCAGAGGCCCCCCACAAGGCTCCGGCCACAGGCCAGGACACCCCATAGGGGTGAATATTCAGGGAAGACAAAACTGCACTATTTGGTCTCCCTACCCCACCCCCAGCAGCTCAGCACTCTGCTATCATAGAGAGTGGGGGGGTTATGTCCAGAAATGGGGAAGGGGGAGGGACAGCTGGAGAGCGACCAGCCACAGTGGGGAACGACGGCAGACAGAGTGTTAGAGACTCGATATGGGGGCAGGTCCAAGGGAAGGAGGTGGGTGCTATGTCTGGAGAGTGGAACAATGCTCAAAGAACAATGACCAGGAATTTCTCAATTTTTTTGAAGGGGAGGAGGCGAGGACCAAGAGTGTGAATGTGGGAATGGGAATCAGCAGCAGGGCTTAGCCCCAGACTTTGGGAACACGGCAACAGAAGACAGAGGAAGAGGACAGGAGGCAGAAACCCATCCTGAGCTAGCACTGCTGCCAGGTCAGCAGAGGGGATGGGGCCACGGAATTTGGACAGAAGCAGGGGATGCTGGCCTTGGGGCTCATTTCAGTGACAGAACTAAAGGTGTGGAAAGATGAAAGGGGTCAGGAGGATCTCTGGCCACCTGCCCTTCTTTAGGCCCTGCGTCATCTGTCCCTGAGAATCTTTCTGCGTGAGAAGACCCATGTCTGTGTTTTTGTAAAATGGTTAAACACTCATTAAAAGGACAGAGCTGGAAGGCACCTTCGAGGTCATTTTGGAAAAGAGGAAGCTGAGGCCTAGAAAGCCCAAGGGACTCACCTAAGACCACACAGTCTAAGTGGGACAGCCAGGACCTCTGACAGCCAGACCTGTGCTCCTTCCACTGGGGGAAGAACCACTGACCAATGAGAGCTAGGTCTGGCTTTCAAGCACAGGCCAGATGACCACTCATTGGGCGTGTTAGAGTGGGGACTTCTCTGGGTGTGGATTAGACAAGACGGTCCTGGAAGTTCCTTCCAACTCTCAGATTCTGAGGGTTTGTACTGGCTAAGCCTGTATAGTTACTGTGAAATGCAAGCCCCCTAGAACTCAGGTGAGCTTCTAGACACAACAAACCCCAGCGGTTGCCTTCAGAAAGAGGTACAGAGGAAACCTTAACAACCCCCATGGGATCTAGGAGTCTGGGCTGCTAGAAGAGTAGCTTGGACCTGGGGGTAGGGTAGGAGAAAAAGCTGGACGGAGAGAGCTCCCTGAGGCCCCTAGTCTTCCGACAGCAAGTCCAGTCAACCTGGGGAGAGGAAGGGAGGGAGGGAGGGAAGGATGGCCACTGTCTGTGGTCTCCACGGCCTCAGACCTTGGCTAGGCTGGACTGGTGTTCCTCTTGGATGGGCATCCGGAAACTGTGTGTGCCTGGGGGTGGAGGAAGAAGGCACTGGCCATGGGGCAGGGGGCGAGGACACAATGCACCTTTCGGGGAGCAGATGGAACCACCCAGACTCTTGACAACCACAGAACCCCAATTCCCCCACCCCATCCACCTTGGAATGCTACCACCTCTGTTCACATTCCCTCAGTGTTCTCTCCCCATCTCCTTGAGCTTGTTCAGAGGGAGGTGGAGAGGAAGGCAGGAGGACGGGAGCAGGGTGGACTCACCTGGGGGCTTCCAAATTGCAGGCAGCTGCCTCTTGTCCCTCTTGGACAAGGAGATCCCGAGTACCAACATAACCACGCCAAACACCAAGAGCAGAAGTAGCACCAGGAAGATGACAGAGAATGGAGCTGCAGCATAAGGAAGGCACAGTGATGGAGGGGGCTGCCTCCCCGACACCTGCAGCCATGGGCAAAGCAGCCCTCTGCCCTAGCCCCTAGTGCCTTAGGGCTTGTGGGTGGGGAGGCTTCCCTGGAGGAGCAAGTGGTCTCAAAGACGTCACGTTCTGTCTAGAAGTCACATTCTGTCTAGAAGTGCGGGTTTTTGTCTCCTTGAAAGGCAGCGGGTCTGAACCCAAGAGGCCACGGGAGCAGAGAAGAACCTGGGAGCCCAGCCAGTAAGACCCCTCATTTTTAAGGTAAGGAAGCTGAGTCCCAGACATGGCAAGGGGCATTCACGCCGGAAGCCACCAAGCCAGGGTTTGAAGCCACGTGCTTGTCTCTCTCCCCCAGCCCTGGAGACTTGCACGTGGTGGGGGTTGGGATGGCAAGGAGAGCTGGGGCCGGGGCAAGGGCCGAGGCGGCCAAGGGCACATCCTTACACCAGGGCTTGTCAGGGAGGGACTGGAAGGTGCTCAGCACTCCTACGCTCTGTGTGGTGACCCTCAAGTGCGCTGTGGAGGAGGAGGAGCTGGTGGTCGTGGTCCGGGCAGATGTTGGAGGGCTTCGGGGGGGCCCCGGAGTCCTGGCATCCTCACAGTCAGCATCGGCCTGAGGACTACCGGCTCGCAGGGTCCGTTTGCCTATGGCCGTGCAGCTGCGGGGTGGGAGCGGACACAGGTGTGTGAGGGCAGGGCCAGAGTGCAGGGAGCCAGCCCTTCACCCCTTCTGCCCAGGCGCGAGATCCAGGAGGTACTGGGGAATCTTTGAGGTGGAGGAAGGAGCAGGGGAATGGGGTCTCCCTCATCCTTTCAGTTTTCCCCTCCCTAGATGCACTAGGAGCTCAGGGCTGGCTGAGGAGTCCTTGTCCCCTTCACGGCACTCGGTAACTTACTTGGTCCATGGTTTACACATGCTGTTTTCTCCCAGGGAAAAGTGTCCCGGGGGACAACGGGAGCATTCTGGAACCAAAGACAAGGAAAGCTTTGCTTAGGGTGACCCACTCTTTGGTCCTGGGCAGAGAAAGGTGGAAACTACACGCTCTGCGGGGTGACCTCCCCTCTCTGCTGTCTAGGAGGGATGTCATTCTGGAAGAGCAGGGGGAAATGGGAAAGGAAAGAAGGAAACAGAAAGGGATGGGGACAGGAGGAGGGGCAGGAAGGGGGAGAGGATCCAGGGCCTATGCATCTGAGTAGTTCAGCGTTCTCCAGGCCTGGGCTCTAGAAAAACTCAATTCTCTCCCTGGAGCAATTGACCCCACCCTGGCCCGCCCCAATCACCATCTATGCAAGCCCATCCCTACACTCACCTACAGAGGCACAAATATACCCAGTCACACATAAGCACGCATCCACGTGCACACACACACACACAGGTACGCCTCCATACTGACTCACATGTACACAGTCCGCGCGCACACACACACACACACACACACACACACACACACGCACGCACGCACACGCACACACGACCCATGACCCTGGAAGGGAAGACTTGGGGTTCTGACAGACCCTCTACTGGGTGGGGCTGACAGGAGCTGCTCACCCACTCCCCACTTGAAGGTTTCAACGGGCTGGGTCCCTGGGGTGCATTGACACACGGTGTCACTGGACGCTGTGCAATTCTTGAGGACCTGGCTCCCGCTCCCTGAGAAGCAGGAGGGAAAAAGAGTCAGTGCAGGGCTTCCCCTCACCAAGGCTGGGGGGGGGAGCGCCCAGGCAGGAATACGGATCTCTGTACAATTCCTGGCGAAATGAACAGAAGGGAATAGAGTCCAGGGCTCCTCTTCCCAGTTCAGAAGCGAGTGGTCACGTATGCTGTGCGGGACTATGGAACGCCAGCCCTAGCTAGTGAGGGAGAGGAGAAGGCACTGGCCCTGGAGTCTGGAGACCCAAGTTCAAGTCCAGCCTCAGACACTCCCTAGCTGGGGGATCCTGGGCAAGTCACCTCCCCGCTGCCTGCCTCAGTTTCCCCAACTGTAAAATGAGGATAATAATAGCACTTCCTCTCAGAGCTGTTGTGAGGACCAAATGAGGTAATAATGTTTAAAGTGCCTTTGTAAACCTTAAAGCTCCACATAAATATGAGCTATATACATACATACACGCAAAACACATACACACTTAGACTATGCCTTGTCTTTGCAGGGGCTGTCCCTCAGCCCCCTCTGGGGGGCTCCTACACCCCCAGCAGTGAGGATCCCATGGGGTTTGAGGTTTGCCTCTGTGGTTGAGAAAATGGGTGCAGCACTAGTGAGAGAGCTCCCCAGCCCTTCATTCATCATCATTTCAATCAGCATTTACTGAGACTTCCTGAGCTGGGTGGAGGGAGACAGGAGGGGGAGGGAGGGGAGAAGGAGGGAGGAGGAAAAGGAGGAGGGGAGGGAGGCAGAGTAAGAAAGGGAGGAGGAGAAGGAGAAGGAAGAAGAAGAGGAGGAGGAGAGGGAGGAGAAGGAGAAGAGGAGGAAGTACATTTCTTTCTCCCCAGCTATAACATGTACCTCGTTGGAGTGACTGCTTTCCATCAGTGAAACAGTCATTACTGGAATCGTTGTGGTCAGTGGGATGGCTGGCTTAAATGGCCCTAGAGAACACTTCCAGCTCTGAGAGTGTAGTTCGTTAGACACACACATACACACGCACATACACATGTGTGCACAGACGTTCTGCCTCCAACTGCACTTTGCTGTCCTCTCTTGCGCCACCCCCACGTTGTTACAGCGCCAGATGACCCCGGCAGGGCAGCTCCTCTAGCTCTTGCCCCCACCTGCTCCCTGCACTGCAGTCCTGCCCACCGGCCTTGCTTAACAATGACAGACGGTTTGCGTTGTTATTGCTGGTTTTGGTGATACCTGCGTGGAATCAGGAAGACTCACTTTCCTGAGTTCAAATTTGGCCTCAAAACACTTGTTAACTGTGTGACCCTGGGTCAGTCACTTAACCCTGGTTGCCTCAGTTTCCTCATCTATAAAATGAGCTGAGCAGGAAATGGCAAACCACTCCAGTAAAAGAAAACCCCAAATGGAGTCACCAAGAGCTGGAAATCAACTCAACAACAATAAAAACGGTTGGGTTTTGGTTGGCGGTGGGGGCGGGAGGGTGATGTGATAGTGGAGAACAGGCAAGACAAGACTTCACTGGTACAGGGAATTCCCAGATGAGAACAAACACTTCACCAATGCAGCTCATCCTCCGCCCTCCACCATCTTTTGGAGGTTTATCTGAGCACTGACACTTAAATTGTTCTTAAAAGTTTACAAAGTACCTCACACACAAGCTCAGTGGATGCCAACAACCGTGGGAGGGAGGCACGTTTTTTAAAAGAACGTACTGATGCCGGCCCGGTGCGCCGGGTGTTTGGTGCAGGTGAGGAGAAGAGGAGCCAGCTCTGGGATGGGGGGACACCTCCCCCTTCACGGGATCCCCCAAGCTCCTGCCTCCCCTGGCCTTAACTCACACCATCTCCCTCCCCTGGAGCACCCCCCAGGCATTACTGTGCAGCACGTTTGTCACGACCACACAAGGGCAAGGCGACCAAATCCCAGGAATCGGCACCCCAGCTTACGGCCTTTTGGTTCCCAGGGAACCCTCCTCACACTTAGATGGGAGGGTTTCTCAGACAAGGAGGCCCAGTGGGCCTTAGGACTGAGGCCAAAGCCTGCCCAGAATGTTAGAACCTGCCAGGGTTGTTCTACTGCCATCGTCTCCAAGAACCAAGGGCACATCTGCACCATGGTGAAGTGGTGGAAGACAACATCCCTAGCAGGAAACTTTCTTTCCAGTCACACAATCATAGGATTTAGAGTACGATGGAAGCTTAGGACAGGGAATGTCAGAGCTGGGAGAGGCCTCAGAATATGGAATGTCATGACTGGGAGGGCTCTGAAAGATGACTTAGCAAACAATGCCATCATTCTACAGAGCAGGGAGATGTGGCCCAGAGCGGGGGGAGAGTCTCACCCAAGGTCATGGGTGACTGGATGTGGGGCAGTTGGGTTAGGCCCCCTCTTTGGGAAGCACCAGGCTTATGGTGAGGACCGATGGGGTATCCAAAGAGTGGCTTCTGGAGTTTGGTGGGAAGGGCCAGGAGGGTGCCATCTCTGGGCAAGAAGCCGCCTTCGGGGTCAAATTAGGGGAGTTTGGTCTGAGATTCCCAGGCCCAAAGGATTTATGCCCATTTCTAGTCAAGCTCATTGGGGAAAATCTGATGTCGCTCTCAGGTGCATCGAGGGTGAGACAGCTGAGCTGGGGGAGGCCAGAGGTGGTGGGGGTGGTGTCCAGGCCCAAAGGCCTGCAGCCAAGGTAGCTCTGAGGCAGAGGAATAAGGGCCAAGGAAGGAACAGAAGAAGGTGAGTGACCTCAAGGCCTAGTGAGAGTAGGCACTAGACCACAGGCCTGGCCACGGACCTACCAAGGGAAGGAGGGAGGTAAGGAAGATGGGTCACAGGCAGGACGACAGACAAGTATTCTCTCAGCCCAGGGTCAGGGCATTCTGTTCTAGGTTGGGGAGCACCGCACCAGAGAGGGGTGGGAGCACAGGGGAGCACGAGGGAGGAATAGGAGCCTGGGAGAGGGGTGGGACTGGCCCTTACCGACATGGCACTGGGTGCAGGGCTGGCAGAAGTCATAGCTGAATCCTTCCTTGAAGAGCCTCTTGGCACAGGGTTTGCACCGGGTGTCCTCTCTGTCGGTACAGCGACTTACCATCTCAAAGCCTGCGGAGCGGCCCACGGGGAGCCAGCGTGAGCCGGGCCGCCGTCAGACTGTCACCCAGGGGCACCGTCTCATTTCTGCACATCTCCTCACCTTCCTGCACCTCCCTGGCCACACTGGGCTGCTAGCTACTCCCCTAAATGACACATCCATGCATTTGCACAAGTCAACCCCTACGCTTGGGAAAACACGCTCTCATCTCTGCTTCTCAGAATCCTCGCCGCCCCTCAGGCGTCACCTCCTCCGTGATGCCTTCCGTCAGCCCCCAGCCACTGATGCCTCTTCCCTTCTCAAGGAATGCATTTCAGCTGGAGCTATCCTTTGAACTCAACATGCGTTATTAAGAACCTACTATGCGTCAGACATTACGCAAGGGGCTAGGAACACAAAAACACTTGAACAGTCCTCATGGATCAAGTTTAACTATGAGGCTGGAGTGGAGGTGGAATGGGATACGTGGAGAAAGTACGGTAGGGGGAAAGATGTGTTTGAGAGTCAGAGGAACCAGGTTCAAATCCTGCCTCCAATGCTTATTTTTTTGTGTGACGTCAGGCAAGCTCCTTCCCCTATTCTGAGCCTCAGTTTCCTCTTCCGAAAAAAATAGCCAGCTGGACTAGATGGCCTCTGCCCCCCCTGCCCCGCTCTAGGTCGAAGGCACTAGACACACAAGTCTGGTAAGGGCACCCAGACCCAGGCCAGCCTCCTCTAGCCTGGCACTGAAGTCCATCCCAGGTCCACCTTTCCAGACCAACTGTACACGGTTCAATCATCCTGGGCTTTTCGCTCCTCCCCAGGCTCAGCACTGCACCCCCTGCCTCTCAGGGCAGTCTCCCTAAGCCCCCAAACCCAACACACTGGTGAGAGATGGGACTGGCTTCCATCAGCTCCTTTGGTGGCAGGTTGAAATTAGAGCCTCACAAGAGGGACAGCCCATGTCAAATGACATTAAACACTGATTACCTAGAGGTTGGCAGCCTTGTATCATGGAAGCAGCTGGTGGCACAGATGGAGCGTCAGAAAAGTCCACGTTCAAATCACAAACGAGCCACTTACTAGCTGTATGACCCTGGGCAAGTCACTTGACCGCTGTCTGCCTCAGTACCATAGCACAAAGTATATATAACAGGTGCTATATAAAAACGCCTTTCTCTCCCTCCCCCTCCTCCATGGAAATAGTGCTAGCTTGGAGTCAGAAGACTTGGGCTCAGTTCCCAGCTTTGGTACCAGCTGTGTGATCTTGGGCAAGGCTGGGACTGTTTCCCCCAGATGTGGACCCCCAAGGCAGTTCTAGTGGAAAATGACTGGCCCTTAATCTCACAAACTTCCTTCCCTCTGAGTCCACCTCTCTGTGGGTCTTGTGTGTACACAGCTGACAGAATGTTGCCTCCCCCTTGGCCTGGGAGCTCCTCGGGAAAGGGGACTACCTGTTGCCTGTCTTCTTATCCCAACATTTAGAGCAGTGCCTGGCACCTAGTATACATAGTACCTGGGCAGCCAGGTCCTGTCTGATGGAGCTCTGGGCCTGGAGGCAGGAAGAGCCAGGTTGAAATCCAGTCTCTGACACTTACTAGCTGTGTGACCCTAGGCAAGTCATTTAACCCTGTCTTCCTCTGTTTCCCCAACTGTAAAATGGGGAACATAATAGCACCTAGCTCCCAGGATCAAATGAGATATTTGCCTGTTCCCTCTCTCTTTCCCCTAATAAACACTTGCGGACTTTTCCCCTTCACTTCCCCGCTTTCTCTACTCTCTGGTGCAGAGTCCCAGATTTGGAAGTGGAGGCCTTCAGTTTGAATCCCACCCTCTGCTAATTACTGCCTGTGTGACCTTTAGCCTCTCTGGGCCTCAGTTTCTTTCTCTGCAAAATGGTCAGGTTGGATTAGTTGACCTCAGAGGTCTCCTTCCAGTTATAACTCCCCAGTTCTATGAAGCCGTCTTCCTCCCTCCCTCCCAACCCTGGTGCTCTCTTCTTCCTCCCTCCCTCCCAGCCCTGGCGCTCTCCTCTTCCTCCCTCCCTCCCAGCCCTGGTGCTCTCTTCTTCCTCCCTCCCTCCCAGCCCCAGTGCTCTCGTGCCCCAGGACTCACCAGGCTTACAGTACTGGCAGCACTGACCAGCTGAGCTGTAGGAGTTCTTGCCACACTGGTGCAGAGAGGCGAGGCGCAGCTGGGCAGCGAGGAGGCAGAGGAGCGTCACGAGCCTCCACAGGTACCTGTGCCAACCAGTCATCTTCCTGCCTCCCTCTGTTCCACGGCCTCTGCCTGCACTGAGAGCTCAGGTCGCCAAAAACCCTTCCTCCTTCACAAGGGAAAGCCCCTTTCGGCGGATGTTGGGGTGGTTGTTTTTTCATAGAATCACAGAATCTCAGCTGGACCAACCTCGGAGGCCCCCCTATCACAGTCTGCACCTGGAAAATGCACTCTCCTGCAGTGTGCTTGAGAGAGGGGTAGTCCGGCCTTTGTCTGAAGATTTGAGGAGGCCCCTGCTCCCTCCTCTCTATGGGTTAGAAAGGGCCTCCCTGAAATCAAGCCTGAATTGGCTTCCAACTGCTCTCTACTGCTCCTGGTTCTAGCTGTCGTCTGGGACAAGTCCCTCCTTTACCGAGGTCCCTCCCAACACTTGAGGACAGCTCTCACGTGTCCCCTTCATCTTTCCCCACCCTGCGTCTTTCTTTCTCCAGAATAGACATCTCTAGTTCCCTCAACCTATCTTTGTGACATGAACTGGAGACCAGTCACCACCCTGGTATTCCTCTGGATTACCAACAGTTTACAAGCCTCATCTATTAAATATGGAACACAATATGGTCTGACCAGGGTAGAGAGTACAAGGCTGTCATTTCCTTATTCCTGGACACTATGCCCTTTTTCTTTTCTTTTTTCTTTTCTTTTCTTTTCTTTTCCTTTTCTTTTCTCTTTTCTTTCTCTTTCTCTTTCTTCCTTCCTTCCTTTCTTTCTTTCACATTCTATAGCTACTTTATTTTACTTTTTAAAGCAGGAATTTATTTTTATTTCCCCTTCCATTGGGTCATTCTCCCCACTCCCCCCACTTAATAGTATTTTTTTCCCAATTACATGTAAAGATAGTTTTCAACATTCACTTTTATAAGACTTTGAGTTTCAATTTTTTTTTCTCCCTCTCTTCCTTCGTCTCCTCCCCAAGATGGCATGCAATCTGATATAGGCTATACATGTACAATCATATTAAACATATTTCCACATTAGTCATGCTGTGAAAGAAGAATCAGAACAAAAGTGGAAAAACCATGAGAAAGAAAAAAAAACGCTTCGCTCTGCATTCAGACTCCATAGTTCCTTCTCTGGATGTGGATAGCATTTTCCATCATGGGTCTTTTGGAATTGTCTTAGATCACTGAACTGCTGAGAAGAGCTAAGTCTATCAAAGTCGGTCCTCACACAACATGGCTGTTACTGTGTACAACATTCTCTTGGTTCTGCTCACTTCACTCAGCATCAGTCCACACAAGTCTTCCCAGGTTTTTCTGCAGTCTGCCTGCTCATCATTTCTCATAGCACCACAGTATTCCATTACATTCACACACCACGACTTGTTCAGCCACTCCCTAATTGATGGGCATCTCTTCCATTTCTAATTCTTGACCACCACAAAAAGAGCTGCTACATGTATTTTTGTCCGCGTGGGTCCTCTTCCCTTTTTAGTGATCTCTTTGGGATACAGCCCTAGTATATCATGCTTCTTTCATACAGCCTGGGGATGCATTTGCCTTTTCAGCTGCTATATCAAATGGCTGATTCATATGGAGGGTAGTGATCCAGCAAAGCCCCAGCAACTGTGTAAGATCTTCTTATATTCCCTATTCAATTAGACCCAATGTGCCTTGGAGGCAACCCAGTCCAACTCGCATCTGGCTAGAAACCACCTCTATAACATCCCCTACAAGGGGACATCCAATCTCTATGTGACAACCTCTAGTGAGTAAACAGTTCTCCCTCCCAAAGCAGCCCATTCCATTTTGGGGTAATTCTAATTGTTAAAAAAAAAATTGTTCTTCTTGATAGCGGGTCTAAATTGGGCATTCTGAAATGGTTATCCATCACAAGAATACGAGATTTAGAACTGGGAGGAGCCTTGGATAACCTAATCCAATTGTTCCCACTCTGGGGCCAGCAGAAGCTCTGGGGACCGTGACATCATTGCAAGAGTTCACAGCATCATCAGTGAAGAGCCAGAAGGGCAGGTGGAGGTCACTGACATCCCCTTCCATTTTACAGAAGGTTTTCTCGATTTCCCTATTTCTGCCCTTCAGTCACCGGATTCCAAATCCTGGGCTCATCCTCTGTTCCTTGCTTTTCAGCCCTGACCTCCAATCAGCTGCCAAGTCTGGCTGATTCTGCCTTCACATTAACTCTGGCATCCGACCCTCCTGACTCATGAAGCCTATCCTCTGGTTCACAACCTCACCCCCTCTCCTTTGGATTGTTTCTATGACCTCTTAATTGGACCCCCTGCATCCAGTGTCTCTCCTCTCCTAGCCAGCAGCCACGCAGTCACCAAACTTAGACTGAAAGTCCAAGTCTGACTGAGTTACTCAAGATTTGATGGCTTGTTGCCCAAAAGCTCAAATACCATCTTCTTTGGCATTTAAAGGCCCTTCGCAATTGGGATTCAACCTATCTTTCCAGACCCTTTACACGTTATTCGTCTGCGTGAACTGTACCATCCAGCCAAATCAACTTTCTTTCTAAAAATTTTTCTCAATTACATGTAAAGACAATTTTCAATATTCATTTTTTTAAAATTTTGAGTTCCAAATTTTCCCCCTCATCTCCTTCCTCCTCCCTAAGATGGTATAAGTCAGGGGTGAGGAACCTGGGGCCTTGAGGCCATATGTGGCCTTCTAGGCCCTCAAGTGCGCTCCTTTGAATCCAAACTTGGCAGAACAAATATCCTTAATAAAAGGATTTGTTCCATAAAACTTGGATCCAGTCAAAAAGCCACACCCGAGGACCTACATGTGGCCATGGGTGGAGGTTCCCCACCCCTGGTATAAGCCATTTGGTGTGGGTTACATGCTCAGTCTTCTAAGACATATTTCCATATTAATAATGTTGTGAAGGAAAGATCAAAAGAAATAACAAAAATGAAAAACGCACAGTGAAAACTGTGTGCTTTGGTGTGCATTAAGACTCCAGCAGAACAGTTCTTTCTCTGGAGACGGACAGCATTTTTCACCATAAGTCCTTTGGATGACTGGATTGCTGAGAAGAGCTACGTCGTTCATGGCTGATCACCGCACAATGTTGCCGTTACTGTGTATGACGTTCTCCTGGTACGGCTCGCTTCACTTTGCACTAGTTTATGTAAGCCTGTCCAGGTTTTTGGGAAATTAACCTGCTTGTCACTTCTTAGAGTGCAATAACACCCCGTTACTATTATACACCACGACTTGCTCAGCCATTCCCCAGTGGACGGGCATGCCTTCAATTCCCAAGTCTTTGCCAGCACAAAAAGAGCTGCGATACATATTTTTGTACAAATAGGATATTTTCCCTTTTTTATTTTTGTTTTGAAGTCTCTTTAGGATACAAACCTAGTAGTAGTACTGCTGGATCAAAGGGCATGCATAGTTTGCGCATTCCAAATTGCTCTCCAGAATGGCTGGATCAGTTCACAACTCCACCGACAATGCGTTAGTGTCTCGATTTTCCCACAGACCCTCCAACATTCGTTATCTTCCTTTTCTCTCATATCAGCCAATCTGATAGGTGTGAGGTGATACCTCAGAGTTGTCTTAATTTGCATTTCTCTAATCAATAGTTATTTAAAGCATTTTTTTTTCACATGACTATAGATGGCTTTGATTTCTTCATCTGAAAACTGCTTATTCATTTCTTTTGACCATTTATCAACTGGGGAATGATTTATATTCTTATAAATTTGACCCAGTTCCATATATGTATATATATTGAAGAAATGAGGCCTTTATCAGAGAAACCTGCCATAAAAATTGTTTCCCAGCTTTGTGCTTTCTTTCTCATCTCGGCTGCACTGGTTTTGTTTGGACAAAACCTTTCAAGTTAATAGAATTCAAACTATCCAGTTTATATCTCATAATGCTCTATCTCGTATCTGTTAATAAATTCTCCCCTTCTCCACAGATCTGACAGGTAAACTACTTCTGGCTCTCCCAATCTGCTGATGGGATCACCCTTCATGTCTAAACCAAAATGTACTCATTTTGACCTTAGCCTGGTACACAGTGTAAGTTGCTGGTCTACACCTAGTCTCTGCCATACTGTTTTCCAGTTTTCCCAGCAGTTTTTTGTCAAATAATGAGTTCTTGTCCCAAAAGCTGGGGTCATCGGGTTTATCAAAGACTAGATCACTACCCAAGCCAACTTTCTTGCTGTTGCCTACATAGGAGATTCCTATCCTCGTGGCTTTTCAACAGGCTGTTTTCCCCCATGCCTGGAATGAAGGGAACATAAAACAGGAGTTGGGACTGGTCCAAGCAATACCTGTATAAGAATCCCTTTTACAAACATCCAGTCAGGGAGGGGGGAGCCCATTATATCTCATGCAGCCTATTCAAACTGGCTAGTCAACCAGCATTTATTTCAAGCCAGGCACTGAGGAGACAAAGAAAGAATAAGGACAGTCCCAGGTCTTAAGGTGCTCATCGTCTAACTGGGGAGACAATACGTGTATGACGATGTACAAAGCCGTATACACAGGACAACCTGGATACACTCAACAGAGGAAAGGCACGAGAATTCTATCTGGGACAGCCTGAACCTGCCCATCGGTAACACCTGCTGAGTGTTCCCACATCTGTCCAGGAGGCCAGGCTACTCCTTCTTCCAAAGACCCCAGGGCTCTTGCGTCCATCCATCCTGTCTGTCCCATACCCTCTTCTCCCTAACAAATCTCTTTTCCAACCTAAACATCTCTAGTCCCTTCAAGGGATTCCCATATGATACGGACTCAAGGTCTTTCACCATCCTGGTCACTCTCCAGCTTATCAATGCCCTCCCTTTCTTCAAACGAACACAAAACTCCCAAAGAAGTTCACGCAAGGCAGAGGACAGCAGGACCAGGACTTTCCTAGTCCCGGGCACGAGACCTTCCGATATAGTTTAAAGTCATATCTGTTGTTTGGGGGGAGCCTATCATACTGCTGACTCATAATGAGTTCATTAAAACCCCCAGAACTTTTCCTACAGAAACTAGAAATCCCCTCCCCCCGTCCCATGTTGGGTATTCTTTTTTGACAATAAAGTCCAGCATACTGACTTGTTGTGGGGGGGAGGGGAAATAGAGTAGGAGAAAGCAGATGGGTTTGGGGCAAGGGGCTCCTTGGTGTTTGCCAAAAACCACCTGAAAAATCTACTCTTCCCCCCCACCCTTCTTCTTCTCTTCCGGGCTAGGATCCCCTCTCCATCATGTATTTGTGAATCTTTCCCTAGCTCCAGGGCTACCTCATGTCTTTCCTGAGGTCCCCCCTACAATTATGGGTGCTTCCGCCCCAGATATCACTCTGCTTCTATTCTGCATGTGTCTGTGCACATGCAGTCCCCACCCGAATCCAGCTGGGGGTGGTCAGGGAAGGTTTCATCACAGAGAATGGAAGATTCAGAGATAGAAGACCTTCGCAATCTAGCCCAACACCATCATTTTACTGGAAAAGAAATGGAGATCCACCCACCTCCCCACCCCCCCAAAAAAAGAAAAGGTGATTTGCCTAAGATAATGAATGAATGAATGAATGGAAAAGCATTTGGGGATACAAAAACACAGGAAGGGTTAGGGTTAGACATGGCAAGTAGAACTCAATGGCCCCCAGATCACAGATTCTAACTTTACGATTATTGTTTTTGATCAGGACGTGGGCCCTTTTCCTACACCTCTC